GGATGCTACTTCTTCTGCAACGATTGAAAATTTATTGTTGATTTGATGTATGTTGTTTGTTTTGCGGGATATACACGATTTTAGTGGAGTGTTATTTAATAAAAATGACTTTAATTTTGTTGGTAGTTCTGTTATAAACAATAACTTTTTTCCATTTGTCACCTCGCTAGAATTTAGATAGTCCACTAAGAAAACAATTTTGTAGAAAGTTATCATATAGTATCATATATACTACTAAAAATTAGCGATCTAATGACAATTCCAATGATTGGTAAAAATACGATGGATTCAAGAGATTGATATGAGAAATCCCTAATATTATATGGTTATATAGATTAATTATATTTGGCTAAATTTTTCGGAGAAATATTTAGAAAATATCCCAACCCACAAAGTTTATTATAATTATTTATTAGCAAGATGGAATCTCAAGGTTCATATGAATGTTAAAAGATAAAGCACATATGACAAAAGATTTACAATTCAAACAATCAAAAGAATATTAATATATATTTTGGATGATCAAAACTTTTCTGTGGAATGATAGTTCATTAGAGAAGATTTCTGCCAAGTCCTATCTGTAACTACCTGTGCTAAAAAAACAAAAGTAATCAATGTAAAAGTCTCATAAAATCATATCTTTGGAGAAAATGAAAGATATTTGGGCATGCCACTGATCTCTAAGAGGCTCTCCTTTCTTGATTGCTCTCCTTTAATATCTAAAGTCTCTGATCAACTCCAATCTTGGCAAAACAGGAGACATTTGTCATATGCGGGGAGAATCCAACTTATAAAATCTGTTATTATGGGAATTCAAATCTATTGGACAAGCAACTATATCCTTCCGATAAAGGTTTTAGAAAAGATCGATAAAATGTGTTCTGCTTTCCTATGGGGGAGCAAAATACATCTAGTTTCCTGGTCAGAAGTATGCAAGGATAAAGAACATGGAGGATTGAGTCTCTTCACTGCCAGGTATTGGAATTATTCAGCAGGTATTAAACTACTATGGATGATACATGCTAAAGAGGATTTACTGTGGATTAAATGGGTCCATGAGAACTATTTACAAAATCAGAGTATTTGGCAAATTCAACCGAGGAAAAATGACTCTTGGATGTGGCGCCAACTCCTAAAAGTGAGAGACTTGGTGATCAACAGATTTGGAAGTATGGGGAATATTCAAGGTGTTCTTGATAGCTGTCTCAAAGATGGTAACATTCAAATCTCTTCTATATACAATGCTATTTCTTACTCTTCAGCTACTGTAAACTGGTCGAAGTCAGTTTGGGGGGGCTTGCACTATCCCAAGCACTCTTTGATAATGTGGCTTGCCATCCTCTCGAGGCTGCTGACTAAAGATAGGCTATATCGCATGAAGATCTTGGAAGCTAATCAGAATCAATGTGTATTGTGTACAGGCTCTGCAAACAGGCCTGAATCTAAAAAACACCTCTTCTTCGAGTGTCAATGCTCAGCTTCTGTCTGGAATGAAATGATGGAATGGTTAGGCTTTGCTTGGAGATCATGTGATTGGGATTGTGTGATGAATTGGTTTAATAACAACCTGAAGGGTCTAGAATTTATGAAGAAGATGAAGAGAATGGTGCTGTCAGCAACAATATATTGGATATGGAAGGAGAGGAACTCAAGAATTTTTCAGCAAAAATGTAGAAGTCCCGATCAACTTGTGAGGGAGGTGAAGATTTCTGTCCTTATGAAAGTGCTGCAGGAAAAAGTTCCAGACCATTTGAGAGAAAGAATAGATAGATTGTAAATAAGTTAGTTTATTGTTCTTGGTTGCCAGACCATTCTGGTTCTTGCTGTGCTCTCATTTCAAAAATTGGAAAAATGAATAAAATTTTTTCATTTACAAAAAAAAAAAAAAAAGATTTTCTCCTAATCTTTATATGAATATGCTTGCATTGAAAACTCTTGAAGAGTTTTTGGCTTCGCTTAGGTATGACGAAGAGCCTATAATATATGTGAATTTCATGCGCATACCAAATGAAAATGTTCGTGTGACAATGAGAATAATTGTGAAAGAAAATTTATTGATATATCATCCATTATAACAAGCAAATTCTGGAAAAAAAAAGAACTTTCTTATATCACTTTTTAACTTTTTTGCATAAGTACTCACTTTCCATCTTAATGCTCAATCAATCATATGTCAAATTTTTGTACTTGAAATGTTTTGAACCAAAATATTTTCTAGAATTATTATGCATATAAATCAGAAATAATTATTTCCATCTTCTATATTATTAATTATTATATTCATTTTTTCAATGATTTTTTTCCTTATTATCTGCATATAATTTTTTTTATAATCAAATTTAAAACATAAAACAATCATGTCTACACGAATAAGTATAATATGCATCACTTGCAACCAACGCACGTGTTATAAAAAAATTTTTATGCATAGAACTCATTCAATATTAAAAAAACTTATATAAATGTTCCGAACATGAGGCACGTGCATTTGTCAAGTTGAATGGATCCGTTCCTGGGATCCGACCACGAAAAAGGCTTTTGATTAATTAATTTAAGATAATAATACCCTACTTTTTCTTATAATTTCTTAATTACGATATTTCTCTTCATTCCCCTTCTACTCTACTTCTTCTTACCTTTCTTTTTTCTTTTTTTCTTTTTTTCTTTTTTTTCTTTTCTTCTTCTAGCTAATAGATTAATGCTCTGTGCGTCTCGGCCAGGACGACGAGCTTAATAAAGCTCTTAGTTTTAGAGAGAGGTGAGAGAGAGAGAGAGAAAGAGAGAGGAGATAAGAGAGAGAGAGAGAGAGAGAGGAGAGATGAGAGAGATGATGTGAGTGCTGGGTCAGAGAGGAGAGAGGATAAGGATAGTTTGGGAATTTTACTTTAGCTGTCATGTGATAATTAATTAAAAGGGGCTGCAGTACAAAGTGTCACACTTCAAGGGGCTGATCCACATGGGGAAAATATGAGAAGCTTTGTCACATGAAGTTTTTGCTTTTGGGGCCTGGACACATTTTTCCCAAATTTTTTTATAATCAAATTTAAACCATAAAACAATCATGTCTACATCGAATAAGTATAATATGCATCGCTTGCAACCAACGCACGTGTTATAAAAATTTTTTTATGCATAGAACTCATTCAATATTAAAAAAACTTATATAAATGTTACGAACATGAGGTACGTGCATTTGTCAAGTTGAATGGATCCGTTCCTGGGATCCGACCACGAAAAAGGCTTTTGATTAATTACACGTGCATTTGTCAAGTTGAATGGATCCGTTCCTGGGATCCGACCACGAAAAAGGCTTTTGATTAATTAATTTAAGATAATAATACCCTACTTTTTCTTATAATTTCTTAATTACGATATTTCTCTTCATTCCCCTTCTACTCTACTTCTTCTTACCTTTCTTTTTTCTTTTTTTCTTTTTTTCTTTTTTTTCTTTTCTTCTTCTAGCTAATAGATTAATGCTCTGTGCGTCTCGGCCAGGACGACGAGCTTAATAAAGCTCTTAGTTTTAGAGAGAGGTGAGAGAGAGAGAGAGAAAGAGAGAGGAGATAAGAGAGAGAGAGAGAGAGAGAGGAGAGATGAGAGAGATGATGTGAGTGCTGGGTCAGAGAGGAGAGAGGATAAGGATAGTTTGGGAATTTTACTTTAGCTGTCATGTGATAATTAATTAAAAGGGGCTGCAGTACAAAGTGTCACACTTCAAGGGGCTGATCCACATGGGGAAAATATGAGAAGCTTTGTCACATGAAGTTTTTGCTTTTGGGGCCTGGACACATTTTTCCCAAATTTTTTTATAATCAAATTTAAACCATAAAACAATCATGTCTACATCGAATAAGTATAATATGCATCGCTTGCAACCAACGCACGTGTTATAAAAATTTTTTTATGCATAGAACTCATTCAATATTAAAAAAACTTATATAAATGTTACGAACATGAGGTACGTGCATTTGTCAAGTTGAATGGATCCGTTCCTGGGATCCGACCACGAAAAAGGCTTTTGATTAATTAATTTAAGATAATAATACCCTACTGTTTTTCTTATAATTTCAAGTACAAACTTTTTTTTTTCAGATATACAGATAAATCCACGCCTCCTTCAGCACATAAGTCTCAATTGTTAATCATTGGAACAAATATATGAATTTTACAGTCAAACTCGTCGACTTCCAACCTATTAATCATTGGAAAAAACCCTTTCATTGGAACAAATTAAATATATGAATTTTGCAGTCAAACTCGTCAACTTCCAACCTATAAATCATCGGGAAAAAGCCCTTTCATTTGCAACTTCCCTCCTTCTGCATTCAGAGAGAAGAAAGCCAGCCATGGCTTCAACATCTCCTCTTGTCGTGTATTTTGAGAAGGTGGGGTTCGAAACCGAAGGAGTTAATGGGTTTATGAGTAAAGTTATAGATGTTAACGAGGCCAGGACTCAGTTGCTGTTCTCTGTTCCAATGATCCTCACCAACATGTCGTATTATGCTGTTACCCTCGTCGCCGTTATGTTTGCTGGTCATCTGGGTGATGTTGAGCTTGCTGGCGCTACTCTTGGCAATTCTTGGGGGACTGTCACTGGGTTAAGTCTCATGGTAATTATAATAAAAAAAAATTCACCCCTCGATAATTTACGACAGTTTTTCGTAATTTTCTTTCTTCATGACTCATGTCGCATTCATAAATGATCCGACTAGGTTTTAAGCTGGCTGTTAATTATGTGATGCAATTCCCCGCCTTTTATCATAACCTGCTTCGAAAAAAGATACAGATCAATATGAGTGACTTATTTCTACATTCACGTATTCATATTCAACAAGAGTCATATTCATTGTGGTGTGTTTTATTCAATATCATTTCACATTTGTAGAGATCTCTGAGAAGACCTAAAGATTCATATGCTGTAGTTCGAAAAAAAAAAAGATACAGGGCATTGTAGAGATATTGAAAACACTGTATTCATGATTATTATGCCGACATAATAGTTTTCTTTTCTTCATTTAATTTGATCCCTCGCAATATGCCACTGATAAGGGGCAAAATTAGGTAATGAAAACTGAACCTGCATATTTCCAAATGTTATCATTCAAATGTTTGAATCTTTCTGATTTTCGCTTGCATTTAAGTATAATATGAGCCCAACATTATAGCATGGCAATTGTTTTTTCTTTTACGTTCAATGACCATTTTTGCACTTAATTCTTCAACCGTTTCAGACTGGCTTGAGTGGAGCTCTTGAGACTCTTTGTGGTCAAGGATACGGAGCAAAACAATACAGAATGTTGGGGATAAATTTACAATCATCGATTATCCTGACTACATTCGCTTCAATTATCGTATCTATATTGTGGTACTTCTCAGAACCGGTATTACTTTTGCTGCACCAAGATCCTAGTGTAGCGAAAATGGCTACCATCTATTTGAGATTTCTTATACCTGGACTATTTGCCCACGCCTACATACAGTGCCTAGTGAGATTTCTCCAGACTCAGTCACTGGTGGTTCCTCTAGTTATTTGCTCTCTACTCCCCCTTGTTTTCGATGTGGGATTAACATATTTATTCGTTCATACCTTGGGCCTCGGTTTCATTGGATCACCATTGGCTAGCTCAATATCACTGTGGATATCAGTGTTTATGTTGGCGATATATGTCAATTATTCAGAGAAATTTAGATACACTTGGGAAGGATTATCCATGGAATCATTCCACCATGTGTTTCCTAGTTTGAAGTTGGCAATATCCTCCGCATTAATGATGTGGTTAGTTCTTTCCTTGTCCCTAGTTTCCTCTATTTAAATGCTGACAGGGCTCAAATTTATGGATATTATGTTATCTGGCTCAAATTTATGGGCATCAGATTATCTGTATAGCATCTTCTTTGATGTGTTAGCTAACTTAGATCTTGTTCTTGTTGTCATAGTTTGGAATGTTGTGCTTTCGAGATTCTAGTGTTGCTGGCTGGATTGATGCCGAACTCTGAGAACAGTACTTCACTTGTTGCTATGTGGTATGCCTACTTGCACTTCTCCAGATTTTAAATAAATTTATCGTATTTTCCCACTGCATATGCATTCTAAAGCTAGGTTTTGCTTTGTAAACAGTGTCCAGACGGAAGGCGTTGCGTACATGATCACATATGGATTTAGTGCAGCAGTGAGGTACAAAACTTATCCTCATCTATTTCCATGACAATCTCTCTAGTCTCTAACAAAAAAACTTCTTACATAGTTTCTGATTTCGTTATCGTCGCAGCACTCGAGTGTCAAATGAGATGGGTGCTGGAAACATCAAGAAGGCTAAGAACGCAGTATCTGTCACGCTGAAGCTCTCTTTCTTTCTCGCTCTCATGTTTCTTCTTTCACTAGCATTTGGCCAGAAGATTTGGGCCAAATCTTTCACCACAAACGCCGTGATCATTAAAGAATTTGCTTCGATGATTCCCTTGCTCTCGGTGTCTATACTGTTGGGCTCAGCACAAGGAGTTCTATCAGGTGATGATCACTAAAGTTTCTATGAAAATTTAGAATTTAGAATTTTATTTGTGGAGTTAATATTCCTAAATTTCATGGTTTTGTAGGAGTGTCTAGAGGATGTGGTTGGCAGCATTTAGCAGCTTGGACCAATTTAGCATGTCATGGTTTTGTAGGAGTGTCTAGAGGATGTGGTTGGCAGCATTTAGCAGCTTGGACCAATTTAGCATGCTTTTACTTATTCGGCATGCCAGTGGTTCTCCTCTTTGGATTTAAGCTCGGGTTTTACGACAAGGTATGTTAACTTCATTTTAAATGTAAACAATCCTATGTTTGTTGGCGCATGAGCCTGAAGAAATGGGTTAAATTTGTATGTATGTTTTCTTCATCAATTGAAATCACAAGACCGCTACACGCATATGCATATATACAATTTGCGTAAGGTAATAGATTTTGTATTTGGAGCAGAAAATAGTATAATTCATGCATTAAATGCAACCATTGCCAATTGCAAAGCTTTCTGGCATATTGACTTGAGGATTCTTGATACTTCTAAAAGGTGTGGTCTTATCATAGTAATTGTGTACGGCATATGAGTGGACATCATGTTGTATTGAAAGAGGTTAACTGAGTTATAAGAGACAACTAACAATCTCTCTCACGAGAAAATATTCAATGGTCCCAGTTCATTGCATTAATGGTGCACCGGATTAATTTTAGTTGGATAAGTGCACAAATCAGTAAATCTTTTTGTCCAAATGGTTGACATCTTTTAGGTGTCCCGTTAATGTAATGCATCACGGAGCAATATATTGTCATTTTTGGTGCCCTCATTAATGTACTACAATAGTCTCTGCCATTATATTGTCTCCTATGTCCCTCTCTCACCCAACTATGACTGACATGAACATATATCTACCAATGATACACATGTACTCTCTATAATGGGATTGTACATATGTTGTTTAGCAGTTTCCTCATTTAATGCCACATAATGGTCCACGACATTTGAGCATACAAATTTTGGATCAACTATTTATAGGGCAATAGCAGCTTGCCAACTTCTTACAAAGGGGAAATTTTCTTCAACCATGCAACTACTTAATAGAAAGACAATAACATTCATCATGATGTAAAATATAGCACCAGTCGTTCTCTCAACAGAAAAGGAAAGAAGACCCCTATGCTATAGGTGTATATTATAGAAAGACAATAACATTCATCATGATGTAAAAATTTCAAAGACACAGAAGCTTAGACGTTCATCATAAATGTAATATATTCTTCTTTATGCATGAAGAGCTCTAAACTCTTTTTGTTCTATTTGTGCAGGGATTATGGCTAGGTCTAATCTGTGGGCTCTTTTCTCAAGCAACAACTCTCCTTGTGATCACTATCCGTTCAAAGTGGACTAATTTGGATTTGGTAGCTCAGGATCAAAAAATTCGCCTGCTTGTTTAGCTGGAACTATATATTATCAGAGAGCGGTATATTGGAATTAGATATTATTGGCTTAGATGATAAACCATGCATAGAGATTTTTTTGTATGTAAACAGTTTCTAAGTGGAAGATTTTTGGGAACATTTGATATGAAGAGCATGCTTCCCTTGTTTCTCATATGTTACTTTGAGAAATAACAATGACAAGACCAAATGTTTGAGGATCTTCTTCTTTGTTGCATTAGAATGTTCATCTGTCAAGTATTAGTACCAGATCTTAATTGTAACATGATCACTCAAAAAGCTATAGAGCTCCTAAGGGAAAAGGAGAATTTGTATAATTTATAGATACAAGTATTCTGAATTAGTATGTTGTATATAGAACACTCTCGTTCCGATGGGATACAGATATATGGATATTATGAATATAAGTGAGTATCTCAACCCGTGTCCAAATAATCAGATTATGTATTGATTGAACAATTTCAATCGTTCATTTTCACCTTAGAGTACGTAGTGGATGTGGATCCATTTTTGGTGATCCACAGATCTAACAATAGTTTTTTTGATATGTCAAAAATGTCTTTGGGCTCTGATTTGAGAAATTTTATTTACATTTAAGTAGGGTTTTGTCTAACATGATATATACATTTACTAATCTTATATGTTATCCTCATCTCTACATTTTGTCTTTATATGTTGTTCTTTTAATTGATCAGTATCCATAGTCGATTTTGACATATATGCACTAAGGAATCTCCTTACCAACCACCCTTGTATTTGTATCTTATCTAGATCCAGGCCCACTTGTGTGCACACAGCCAGAAGGTACGTAACCTAACTCTCAAACCTCAATAATTTTTTTGAAAATGACATCATTATTTTATGTTTGTAACTAATTTAAACATTACATAGCATTTTTGATATAACTCAAAGCGCGTTGTAAAACTACGTTTTTACAATTTAGCGTGTATTACTTTAGTGTAGCATATGTTAGTTGAATATAAGATGCATTATGTCAGTACAACTTGTCGCAGAGATTTGACAATATTTTCTTTGTTTGCTTTGCTTAAGATTTGAAGTTGCTATGTATTTACTTTTGGATTGCTTGCTAAGGTTTGATTGCTTCTTGCATTATGGTGATTCATATATCTAGTGACATCATTAAGCTTGTGACAGGTGAATTTACTTTTTGTGAGAGTAAATATATAAACGAGATACATAAATTTTTGATGATATATTGAACATTGTACTGTGTTGTTTGTAACTTCATATAGCTTTTAAATTTTATTAAGAAATAGTTTTTATAGTTTGAAATCATGATCCTGTTTAGTATAGTCATTACGGATATAAACTCGTGATCTATGTTACACGTTACTATATATGCCATTTTAAGCCTCAATGTCTCTTGATTGCCTCCTGCCACACCAATAATAAGCTTATACCTACCTCAACTTCCAAATTATTAATCATTAATGAACTTTCAATTTAAAACTACCTCCTTCTCTCCCCTTCGGAGTTGTACGCTGAGCAGAGAAGACTAACATGGCTTCTACAACTCCTCTTGCTGTGGAGTCTGAGGATGAGTTAGAAACAGCAGGACTTAATTGGTTTTTGAGTAGGGTTATAGTTGTTAAAGAGGCTAAAGGACAGTTGCTGTTATATGTTCCAATGATACTCAGGAACATGTCACAATATGCAGCTAACCTGGTGGCTGTTATGTTTGCTGGTCATCTTGGTGATCTTGAGCTTGTCGCGACTCCTGGGCTACCGTCACTGGATCAGGTCTCATGATAAGTTGTAGTTCTCTTGGTAATTGCATCATATTTTCCAGGCTAACTGTAGAAAATAGATTCGTAATATCCATAAAGAGGATTCGAAGAAAAGATGCACTTTTCTTAGTAGCATCTATACTATTATCTAAAAGACACCCCTCTTTGGTTTGTGTGACCTTCATTTCCAAATTCCAGAAAATGCCCTCATATTTGGAAAAGAAGAAAATGCCCTCACACTTGAAAAAATCAGCTGAAAATGACCTCAAACTTGAAAAAATCAAAAAGGAAAAAGCCTAACAGACTGTCCATTCCCTTGACAATTCGACAACAGTACTCCCCCATCCGTGTTACGCACACATCATGTGTTGTGCGCAGCGGAAATTTCGGCAGAGTTTCTGGTGCACAATAAGAGAGAAAGATCGATAAGAATTCTTGTTTCTCAAAGGGAACAAGAATCTGAAGCCTAATATCCCATCAAAATGGGATATTTGCTCTTCCTCTCGTCAGCTCTAGGACTGCGCGTCGAGGGGTCCTAAAAACTATTACAATTGCCACAAACTCAAACAACCAATTTTACATGGTTCGGCAAACTGCCTACGTCCACGGGGCAAGGAGGGGGGATCTACTATTAAAGAGAAAAAGAATACAATGGGTTTACAACTCTCACAATCTAAACCCTCAAATAGGCTCATTGCTTTTCTTCACAAGAAAAGGTCAGCCTCCAAATACTTTTTCTCTCTTCACAAAACTCGAGACAGTCCCCTCTCTCTCTCTCAGCACTGTAGCCTCCTTAATTTCTTTGCTGCAGTTTTCACCAAGCCCTTGCACAAAAACTCTCTCTCTCAGCACTGTAGCCTCCTTAATTTCTTTGCTGCAGTTTTCACCAAGCCCTTGCACAAAAACCTAAAAAACAATTGCAGCTATATATATAGCTACAGTCTCGGGTGGGCCTGCAGTTTCCTTGCACAAAAACCTAAAAAACAATTGCAGCTATATATATAGCTACAGTCTCGGGTGGGCCTGCAGTTTTGGTTTTGTTTCCAGCTCTTCACGTGTTTCTTCACGCGTTTTGCTTCCACAGGCAATCAATTGAAAGGAAATCTCTTCACACGAAATTCGTGGCCCCCACGAATCACGTCCTTATCAATTTCACGCATTCACAATTCTCCATCTCGGTGAAGTTTTCTCAAAACTGAGCCGACACCAACCAAAACAAATGTCCCACTTGTTGCGTCCAGGACACCGTGAAACAATTCACGACAACAGACTCAATCCACAACAAGTCGAGACCCAAATGAGAATGCGAACACTCTCCAAATGTTAGTATCAACTCACCAAATCGATCTTACCCCCATCAAAATCCAAACCGGCTGTATCATAATGACTGTCTACGTATCCTCTTGCCCAAGGAATCAAGTCGAACGTAGTTCACCCAAATGGCCGCGAACGACCTCAAACCAATAGAAGAGTTCGCAACCCTTCTCCAATATCATCAACTCTGCGGCTGATAGAACCTCCAATGACCTCAAACACCTCCACCTGAGGCGAACCAATGGCCATATCCAAACTATGTCTGCCAGGTGCACTCGATTCAAAACCCAACTCATCATCTGCACATAAATCCAAATGACTCCCACGTTGTGTCACCTCAGCTGGAATCCCAACCAATGCAGAATGATCTGGAGTAATCTTCACCCAATGTGGAATAGCATCACTCTCCACCCGCTGCGATACCTCTAAGGTCTGTCCAAAACTCTCCACCTGCTGAGAGTCAATTGACTTCCTCATCGAAGCCTCAACCAAAGTGACACTACCAGACCTATCTTCCAATGGAGTTTTACCTCCAATCGCAATAGTTGACAACTCTTTAATAGGATGATCCAAATATGTCGAAGCCTCTGTCCAGAAACTCTTCTGCAAACCATTGCTCGACCACAAACACCGATCCTCCTCCAGCAAGGCACGGTTCTCCAAATTTGTCACCTTATCTAGTTGCCCCAAGATTTCCTTTCCAACGAAGTGTCTCGAAATACCGTGAGCTCGGCTCCAATACAGAAATAGGTCCATCTTGTACCTCCCACCAGAATGGAGTACCTTCACCTTTCTGTTTATTACACACTTCTTCAATCTGTTGGATACTACTAGGACTTTCTCCAAAGGGGATTTGGTTGCAACCCAAACACGCCTAGAACAGTCACCAACAAAGGAAACTAAATACCTATTACCTCCCAATGATGCCCCCTTGGAAGGCCCCTAAACATCCACGTGAACTCCTCTAGAACGACCCTTATCACGGTGAATAGAGGTGTCACACTTCACATCGGTCTTCTTGCTCACATCAACATGTTCACTGGACTTCAAACTGCAGGTCTTTTCACCCTCTTTCAATCTATGTGAGGAATCAATACTGGAATGGCCAAGCCCCAAATGCCGCAGTCTAGTCGAATCAACAGAAGTCGCCAGCTCTCCACCTGTTACTATACCTCCAGTCAAGTAATACAGGTTATTCCTCCTGACGCCCTTCATCAAAATACTAGAGTCTCTTGCAATCTCGAGAACTATGTCCTCAACACGAACCTTCAGACCCTCTCCAACCAAAGCTCCAATCGAGATCAAGTTCTTCCTCAAAGAAGGAACATATCTCACATCATTTAACTCCCTAACAGTCCCGTCAAATATTTTGATGCGAATTCTTCCTAGCCCAAGGATTTGGCATGCACGGTTATCAGCCATGTACACCACACCACTATCCACCAGCTTCTCAAAACTGAAGAACCATTCCCTTCTAGGGCACACATGATAGGTCGCACCACTATCCAACATCCATTCAGATTCCTCCGAATAGCTATCTGTAGGACTGATAGAAAGCGAATAAATAGAAGAGTCAGAATTATTACCATCCGATACGATGTTTGCTTCTGATGATGGTTGCTTCCCTTTTCCCTTCTGCTTATTCTTCATCCATTCGTCGAGCTTTGGGCAGTCTTTCTTCCAATGACCAGTCTCCTTGCACCAAGCACACTGATCTTTTCCAATTGTAGGATGCCCTACTCTAGACTGTGACTTCCAATTCTTCCGGTTTGGATTCTTCCCTCTTGCGACCAACGTCTCTGCTACCGACTCAGTCGAATTCTCCTTATCATTCTTCCGAAGCTGATAATTCACCAATGCAGCAGTGACCTCACTATACGAAAGTGATGCCTTCCCATTAATCAGAGTAAGAACGAAGGTCTCATATTCCTCGTCGGGTAAGGAACTCAACAATAGTAACGTCTTGTCCTCATCTTCAATCTTGACATCCACATTCGCCAACTCCGCAAGAAGCTTTGTGTAGTGGTTCATGTGA